GAAAGTGTTAGGACCCTTAGGGCAAGGCTTCTGAAGGTTGACGTTTTTGAGGAAGCTTCCTGGGTGAGCCACAGGCTACATAGACTCATTTTGGTTTTATAGGGTTTAGGGTTTCGGGCTTAAGGGGTTTTATGTTTAAGGTTTTAGGGTTTAAGGCTTTAGGGTTTTAGGGTTTAGGGTGTTAGGGTTTTAGGGCTTGAAGGGCTTGTGGTTTGAATTTTCAGGGCTTACGGCTTTAGGGTTTTAGGTTTTAGGGGTTAGGCATCTTGTGCGACATTCATGTGTCATGTGTATGCGTACATATGTATATATAGTTATATATATATATATATATCCATATGTACATTATATATAATTATATATATATATATAGAACTATGGCTACGCGTGTCTGCAGACATGTATGCATGGTCTGGACTATGAACCTGAAGTTAGTACTAATTCAGAGGAACCCCTTTAAGGGCAAAGTATAGCACAGGTGCGTGGACCCCTCAGGTGCCGCATAGCAAGGCTTGAACAGCCAGCAACTGCAGCACCTTCAACTCGGCGTTGGTATAGGGGCCTGGATGATGGCCATTTGTAAACTATGGTAGGTTAGGCTGTGTTCAGGGATGACGGTAAACCCTAGACCCTAAACCCTATGGCATTGGTAGCATTGCTGGTTGTTGAGGCCCCTATCTTACTCCCTCGACTCCTCTAACTGCGACGTACATTTGTTTAAAGCAGAAACTCAACCCTAAACCCTAAACCCTAAACCGCAACCTACACAGCACGAAATGGCACGAAACCTGACATGGTATCAGTATGCTCTTGGGGCTCTTTGGTCCGGTGTGGGAGTGGAGTGTATGGTACTATAACGACAACCATATATAGGTACTACAAAGCGAAACTCTCTCTCTCTCTCTATATATATATATATATATATTATATATATATATATATTATTTAGTAGAGCCCATTGCTTGTTTCGGCTTTGCCGGCGCGTCCTGCAGGGACCGTTTCGATCCCAAATGGGAAGGAGGAGCAGGCATGCAAGCCTAAAAGGAGTCAACCGCGACTTCGGGGTGTGGTTTCATGAACCCTATAAGGAATGAGATCGCCAATCAGGCCACTTTATTGCTAATGTTGGGGCCTTAATAATAATCAGAATAGGGTTTTGGGCGTTCCTTATTATGAATATAATTAGTAGAATATACCCCAAATCCTATTCTAATTATTCAGGCCTCTACATTAAGCCAGCCCGTCTCAGCTTCCTGTCCGGAAAGCCTTCAGCGGCCGCTCAATCCTCCTTCCATGCGTGCGAAGCTTCGCGCGAAAATTAGGGCCCCTACTTGGAGGGCCAGGGGACTTAGTAAGTAGGTTATAAGTAGAGTTATAAGTACCCTAAGTGGAGTCACCCCAACTATAACCCTAATTATAACTGACTTGCTAAGTCCCCTGGACCTCCAAGTAAAAAGCACATAAGCAAAACATAGGATAGGGATATCCCATATAAACCCCCCTTATAATGAAGCCCAATAAGGTAGGGATATCTCGACAAGTGCTTCTGCATATGTCCTTTTTTGGGTCCCTGAAAAATAGGGGGTTAGAGCTTACGTAGCCACGGGGCCTTACGAATCAGAACAGGGATGTCACTGATCATCTTTTGGGACGGTAGGATTGGTTTAGGGTTTAGTTTAGGAGTTACCGCTCAGGGAAGGGTTTAGGCGAAGAAATGAGCGAAAATCATTGGAATAGGGTCGCGGAGCATCATGTAGCAACCCGGACCCAAAACCCCAAACTCCGAAACCCTAAAAACCCTATACCCCAGACCTTAAACCGTACAGTACATTTGTATAATTAGGGAACCCGCAGGAGTGGTTTCATACTTATTGGCGATTAATTGTTCACGCCCACGAAAAATCATAAAAGGTTCGTACTTCGGATTTGCAAGGCGAAAGCAAAGCTGAATTCAAACGGCTGCTACTTTGCTGGTCCTACGTGTGAATCTGGAGTCACCATGGGCTAAATTCCTGAACCTAGTGATGATGATTTCAAGGCATTTTGGGCACCAGGACGTCGTGAGACCACTGGAATCCATAAACTTACCCCTCCATTCCGAAGGGCCATTTCAGAACCAGAATCCCAAACCCTAAACCCTAAACCCTAATAAACCCTAAAAGCCTGAAGCCCGAAGCTTGGACGCACTGTTTCCCCCTCTTCCGCTCCTCCACAGGGGCGGTATAGACTTTCCTCACAGGAAGGCGACCCGGGTTTAACTTTAGGGCCAAAGGGTTTGGTTGGGGCTTAAAGGTTGAGGGTTTAGGAGTGTTTCGGTCGAGGGCTTCGGGGTAATATATAGGGGCTCGAAATTTTTCAACATGAAGGAATAATCTGACCAAGTACTTAGGCTTTTATATATCATGACATACTGGTTCAGTATCTTAGTGTACTGCTCTTGGTTCTATCCCGCCTTACCTTAAGGACCCCAAACTATGGGAATTTCCTTATGACGGGTACTGCAGGATTTATACCATGAACCGTATAACCCCTATATACATAACCTCAAAGGCGAACCTCCAGTTCCAAACCCTAAACCCTAAACCCTAAACCGTTCACGGTTCATGTCACGGTTTATGCGGCTTCCTCTCGCAATGCGCATCGGTTTTTCCGTCAGGGCCCGAGTACTCAACCCCTGCAGCCCTGTACCTCAGACTCTAAACCTCTCACGGTATTTTGGGATTAGGGTTTAGGGGTTTAGGGGCTTAGAGTTTAGGGAAGTTTAGGGGTATTTTGGGTTCAGGGTTTAGGGGATTAGGGGTTTGTGTCTGCAGGATACTAGGATCCGGATCCAGGCTCGGGTTTCTGTGGCAGCGAGGATCTAGTCGCCAAGAAAACACATTTTGAGCTGTTCCCCAGAAACACAGTGACGGTTTAGGGTTCAAGGTTTAGGGTTTAGGGTTTAGGGTTTAGGGTTTCCCCAGAAAGCCTGAAACAACAAACTTAGGGTCTAGGGTTTAGGGTTATATGCAACCGCAAGCAAGCAACAACAACCCAAGCCCTCACCCTCCAAAACCAGATAAAGGGATCGAACCTCCGGAAGCCCTAAAACCTCTAAGTTTCCATAGAACCGCAAAGTACTTTTAACCACTAAAACCCCCAAACTCTTAACCCCAAACCCCCAAAACTGCCATGCAACCCCTAAATACCCCAAACCCCCAGAACGTTCCAACAGAACCTCGCTGGGCATAAACCCTACAGCCTTTAAGGTGCCCTTTAGAAAAGCCCTTAACCCCCAAACCCCTAAATTGTCCTGGAAACCTCCTGCCGGCCATAATATACTATGGGGCCTTAATGATTAGACTAGGGTTTTGGGGCCCATTGTACTATAATTATCATAAGGAACCCCCACAATGTTATTGGTAGTGTATTTTTCTACGTGCTTTGGGACTTTCTCTCCGCAGAGGGTCAGCCACAGCCCGTTGGGCCAAACACTCCAAAACTACAAGAAAACAACGGCCACTGTGCTCTTGCCCAACCTTGAGGAGCTTACATTGATAATTATTTAGGCCCCTACATTAATCCCCTAAACCCTAAAGCCCAGCTGAGATCCCTTAACCCCCCAACCCCTCCATTTCCCTGGAAACCCCCCAAGCCCTAAACCCTAAACCCTAACCCCTAAACCCCATAAACCCCCGAAGCCCCAAGCCCTAAGCCCTAAACCCTAATCCCTAAACCCCAAGCCCTAAGCCCTAAACCCTAAAGCCTTAAACCCTAAACCCCCTAAACCCCAACGCCCAGATTATATGATAAGGAACCCCCACAATAGTATTGGTAATTATATACGCCCCTACCTGAACCCCCTAAACCCTAAAGCCCAGCTGAGATCCCTTAACCCCCCAACCCCTAAATCCTAAACCCTAAACCCTAAACCCCCCAACCCCCAAACCCCCTAAACCCTAGAAACCCCAGCTGAGATCCCTAGAAACCCTGAACCCTAGAAACCCTACACCCTAAACCCCCTAAAACCCTAAAGCCCAGCTGAGATCCGCACCCTAAACCCTAAACCCTAAACCTTAACCCCCAAACCCCCGAAACCCCCCAACGCCCAGCTGAGATCCGCACTTCGGAGGCTTTGGCGGAGGCTCGCCGAGCAACGCCAAGGACTCGGAGTCGTCGCCTCAGGGCGTCGGGGGTTGAAACCCTAAGGGTCCAACGTACCTACATAGTAGAGTTTAGGGTTTAGGGTTTAGGGTTTAGGGTTTAGGGTTTAAGGTTTAGGGTTTATGGTTTAGGGTATAGTCTCCATTGTAGTTCCTTTTTTTGGTTTAACCAGTTCTATATGAAGGATTCTATAAGGTAGCCCCAAAAAGGAACTACAAT